GCACATGAGAGGGGGGAGGGTCAGAGGGAGAAGCAGACTCCCTGCTGAGCAGGGGGCCCGATGCGGGACTCGATCCCGGGACTCCAGGATCATGGCCTGAGCCGAAGGCAGTCGCTTAACCAACTGAGCCACCCAGGCGCCCGATTTAGGGCAATTTCTTATACTAATGAGCTGTTAGCTACATATTGAAAATGAAAATTAATTTTGACAGTTCATTACCTTCACAATGTTTACAACAACCAGTTCTTGATTGTTTTCAGTATCCGATAAAAGCTGCTTAATCCCATTAATGCGATCACGGAAGTCTTTTGCATTTAATAAACTGGTTATGACTTTAATGTATTCAGCACTTTCTAAGGAATTGCGGGGAACTGATTTTCTGGTGATGTCATGAATTTCAGTTACTTCTCTAAAGTCAAAGAAAGGTAAATTTAATTTCATTATTAATTTCCTATAAGAAACATAAACATAACAAATAGTTCTTATTACATATTTATTTTTCAAAAATTCACAAAGTGATCTAACCCAAAGCCACAATACCTGTGTTGGGGGTCCCTAAAATCTCCCCTGAGTTTGGTGATTTGCTACGAGGACTCACAAGATTCAGCATGTAGTTCTCCTCACTGCTAAGATTTATTACAGAAGGATACAAAGCAAAATCAGCAAAGGGAAAAAGTGCAGGGGTCAAAGTCTGGTTGAAACTAGATATAAGCTTCCAAGGGTCCCAGTGGAATCACACAGGACAAATTTATTATTACTCCAGTATCAACACATCTGAAATGTTGTCTACCAATGAACCTTATTAGAGACTCAATGCTCAGGCTTTTTTTTTGTTTTTTTTTAAGATTTTATTTATTCATTTGAGAGAGAGAGAGAGAACGTGCAGTAGGGAGAGGGAGAATCTGAAGCAGACTCCGCACTGAGTGCAGAGCCTGACTTGGGGTTCAATCCATAATCATGATGACCTGAGACAAAAGCAAGAATCAGATGCTTAACCAATTGAACCACCCAGGCACCCCTCAATGCTCAAGGTTTTTACTGGGAGTTGGTCATGATTGGTCCTCTGCCTAGGGTATACTGAAATTCTAGGCTCCCAGAAGGAAAGCAGGTCTTCAGCATAAACCACATTGTTTGCCCAAATAATTGTGGTACAGTAAACTATTCTTATCAGTTAAGGAACAGTGGCAATCCTCCTTAAATCCTAGTTCCCAGATGCTAACCGGGGCTCACCTTATAAGTAAGATTTTCCAAAAATAGTCTCAGGCCTGCTATGTTAACTCAAATTATCCATGTGAATTTGCATGAGAGAACTAGAATCTTGACTCTAGCAGGACTTACTATTTCAATGACTTACTATTATTAGCATCTTGTTTTTTATTGCTATAAAGGGGTGACTCAATATAGCAGATGAATGAATGATCCCTTTGAAACTAAAGTGTCATGCAAATTGACAGGTCTTTTTTTTTTTTTTTTTTAAGATTTTCATTTATTTATTTGAGAGAGAGAGAGAGAGCACAAGCAGAGGGGAGAGGGAGAGGCAGAGAGAGAGGGAGAAGCAGGCTCCCTGATGCAGGACTCAATCCTAAGACCCTGAGATCATAACCTGAGCCAAAGGCAGACACTTAACCAAATGAGCCAACCAGGTGCCCTCAAATTGACAGGTCTTAAAGACAATGGTAAGAGTTGCCAGTTACCATTTCTCTGACTACCAGTATTAAAAATGGTGCTGAAGTTGTCTTAAGAGCACTGATTAATGAACGACTCAGGATCATCCTAAAAGTAGACAAAAGATGGTGATCTACAACGTAGATCTTAGTCAGATGTATCTATTCATTATTTTTAATTTGCTTAAATAAATCGATCTGAGGTTAATTTGTGAAATGATTAATTCTATACAATGAGAAAAATAGAAGATTAAATTTATATTTAAACTGAGAAGTATATGATACATAAAAGGTGAATAAATGAAAAGAGTAAAAAAGAACACTTCAAGAAGCCATCTAATTACTGAAACTTATGGGGCGCCTGGGTGGCTCAGTCGTTAAGCGTCTGCCTTTGGCTCAGGTCATGATCCCAGGGTCCTGGGATCGGGCCCCACATTGGGCTCTCTGCTAGGTGGGAAGCCTGCTTCTCCCTCTCCCACTTGCCCTGCTTGTGTTCCCTCTCTCACTGTGTCTCTCTCTGTCAAATAAATAAATAAAATGTTAAAAAAAATAATAATAATTACTGAAACTTGTGTTTAAAGATGGCTTTTTTGTTATTTAAAACAAAATGGATTTGATAGTAAAATAACAGTGAATATACCTTAGGGTATACGACAAAAACCAGACATGCGCACACACACACACACACATATACACACACATACCTCAATCAATCAATTCAAAAGAAGGCAGGACAAGAGACTCATTTTAGACATAAAGACACCTGCAAATTGAAAGTGAGGGGACGGAGAAACATTTATCATGCAAATGGATATCAAAAGAAAGACGGAGTAGCAATACTTATGTCAGACAAACTAGATTTTAAACTGAAGACTGTAACAAGAGATGAAGAAGGGCACTATATCATAATAAAGGGGGCTATCCAAAAAGAAGATCTAACAATTGTAACTATTTATGCCCCCAACTAGGGGGCACCCAAACATATAAAACAATTAATAACAAATATAAAGGAACTCATTGATAATAATACAATAATTGTAGGAGACTTTAACATGCCACTTACAACAATGAACAGATTATCTAAACAGAAAATAAACAAGAAACAATGGCTTTGAATGACACACTGGACCAGAAGGACTTAACAGATACATTCAGAACATTTCTTTTTTTTTTTTTTTTTTAAAGATTTTATTTATTTATTTGACAGAGAGAGGCAGTGAGAGAGGGAACACAAGCAGGGGGAGTGTGAGAGGGAGAAGCAGGATTCCCGCGGAGCAGGGAGCCCGATGCGGGGCTCGATCCCAGGACCCTGAGATCATGACCTGAGCCGAAGGCAGACGCCTAACGACTGAGCCACCCAGGCGCCCCCATTCAGAACATTTCATCCTAAAGCAGAATATACGTTCAAGTGCACATGGGACATTCTCCAGAATAGATCACATACTAGGTCATAAATCAGGCCCAAACAAGTATAAGTAGATTGAGATCATACCGTGCATATTTTCCTACCACAATACTATGAAACTTGAAGTCAACCACAAGAATAAATTTGGAAAGACCACAAATAGATGGAGGTTAAACAACATGCTACTAAACAATGAGTGGGTCACCAGGAAATCAAAGAAGAAATAAGAAAAATACATGGAAACAAATGAAAATGAAAATACAATGGTCCCAAGCCTTTGGGATGCAGCAAAAGCGGTCATAAGAGGGAAGTATATAGCCATACAGGCCTACCTCAAGAAGCAAGAAAAATCTCAAATAAACAACCTAACGTTACACCTAAAGGAGCTACAAAAAGAACAAAGCCTAAAGTTAGCAGAAGGCAAATAATAAAGATTAGAGCAGAGATAAATGATATAGAAACTAAAAAACCAATAGAACACATCAATGAAAGCAGCAGTGGTTTTCAGAAAAAATTAATAAAATCGATAAATCCCAATCCAGACTTATCAAAAAAAAAAAAAAGGACCCAAATAAATAAAATCATGAATGAAAGAGGAGAGATCACAACCAACACCAAAAAAATACAAACTGTTATTTTTTTTTAAATATTTTATTTATTTGAGAGAGAGAGAAAAAAGAGTGAGCATGAGCAGGGGGGGAAGGGCAGAGGGAGAGGGAGAAGCAGACTCCCCACTGAGCAGAGCCCCGGCCACCCAGGCACTCCAGAAATACAAACAATAATAAGAGAATATTATATGCCAACAAGTTAGGCAATCTGGAAAAATGTATGCATTCCTAGAAACATTTAAACTACCAAAACTGAAACAGGAAGAAATGGAAAATTTGAACAGACCCATAACCAGCAAGGAAATTGAATCAGTAATCAAAAATCTCCCAAGATATAAAAGATCAGGGCCAGGTGGCTTCACAAGGGAATTCTACCAAACATTTAAAGAAGAGTGAATACCTATTCTCAAACCATTCCAAAAAATAGAAAAGAAAGGAAAACTTCCAAATTTATTCTATGAGACCAGCATTATCCTGATTCCAAAACCAGACAAAGTCTCCACTAAAAAAGAGAACAATAGGTCAATATGTCTCATGAAATGGATGTAAAAATTCTCAACAAAATACTAGCAAATTGAAACCAACAGTACATTAAAAGAATCATTCACCATGATCAAGTGGGATTTATTCCTGGGCTGCAAGGATGGTTCAGTATTCACAAATCAATCAGTGTGATACACCACATTAATAGAAGAAAGGATAAAAACCATATGATCCTTTCAATAGATGCAGAAAAGGCATTTGACAAAGTACAGCATCCATTCATGATAAAAACCCTCAAGAAAGTAGGTTTAGAGGGAACATACCTCAACACAATAAAGGCTATATATGAAAAACCCACAGCTAAAATCATCCTCAATGGGAAAAAACTGTGAGCTTTTCCTCTATGATCAGGAACAAGACAGGGATGTCCACTCTCACCACTGTTATTTAGATTAGAACTGGATGTCTTAGTCTCAGCAAACAGACAACAAAAAGAAATAAAAGGCATCCGAATTAGCAAGGAAGAAGTCAAACTTTCACTAGTTGCAGATGACATGATACTTTATATAGAAAACCCAAAAAAATCCACAAGAAGTTGCCAATTGATAGATGAATTCAGTAAAGCTGCAGGATACAAAATCAATGTACAGAAATCTGTTGCATTTCTATACACCAATAATGAACAGCAGAAAAAGAAATTAAGAAAACAATCCCATTTACAATAGTACCAAAAACCATAAGATACCCAGGAATAAACCTAACCAAAGAGGTAAAAGATCTATACTCTAAAATCTATAAAACACCCAAGAAAGAAATTAAAGATGACACAAAGAAATGGAAAAAAAGAAAAAAAGAAAGAAAGAAATGGAAAAGCATTCCATTTTCATGGGTTAGAAGAACTAAGACTGTTAAAATGTCTATACTACCCAAAGCAATTTACACATTTAATGCAAATCCTATGAAAATACCAACAGCATTTTTCACAGAGCTAGAACAAACAACCCTACAATTTGTATGGAACCACAGAAGACCCTGAATAGCCAAAGCAACCTTGAAAAAGAAAAGCAAAGCTGGAGGCATCATGACTCTGGACTTCAAGTTATATTACAAAGCTGTAGTGATCAAAACAGTATGGTACTGGCACAAAAACTGACACATAGATCAATGGAACAGAATAGAAAACCCAGAAATGAACCCACAACTATATGGTCAACTAATCTTCGACAAAGCAGGAAAGAATATTCCATGGGAAAAAGATGGCATCTTCAATAATTGGTGTTGGAAAAACGGGGCAGCAACATGCAAAAGAATGAAATTGGACAACTTTCTTTCTTTTTTTTTCTTCTTTTTTTAAGATTTTTATTTATTTATTTGCAGAAAGAGAGAGAGCGTACAAGCAGGGGGTGCAGCAGGCAGAGAGAAAGGGAGAAGCAGGCTCCCTGCTGGGCAGAGAACCCAACATGGGGTTTGATCTCAGGACCCTGGGATCATGACCTGAGCAGAAGGTAGATGCTTAACCAAGTGAGCTACCCAGGCACCCCTAAAAAAATATATTTAAAAAAAATTATATAATCAATCTATTACATGTTAAACAGTATAAACAAGTTACAAAATTATATACATAATTATATTTATAAAAATTTTAAGAGTAGTCTTTTTGTGGTTGGTGGTACTATGGGTGATTGGTTAATTCTTCTTTTAATGTTTGGATTTTCTAAAGTTGTTTTTTTTTCCCCTAACCATAATTATATATTACTTTTATAATCAAGGGGGAAAAGTAAAGGCTAAAAATTAAAACAAAATTAATCAGAGTTGTCCAACACAGACCTAATATTGACAAGTTCAATAGCACTAAAGCTTTAATAATGTTTAGTGCATGTAAAAGCCAGTTGCTGTGAATATATAACTGTCTTATTAAGTATAATTACCTCACACTTTCTAAGTTCTTACCAACTTTTAAAACTCCATTAAGTTTTGACAAATACCCCTGGGATAGTTCATAAAAACATCCAAAAGAGACTACTATCACTAGGGAGTAATTTCTCTAATGATGTGGACTATCAAATGATCCTACCTTTCAGCTGAATTGAAAGCATCTCTAGAAACAGATGATGACCTTGTATTTCCAACAGTGCCAGTATGAGATCGTCTTCCTTTTGCTGAAGGAGTATCTAGTGGTATCTCTCCTAAGCCCTTTAAGTAATATAAAGAAAGGCAGTGTAATAAAAGTCTTAAAACCAGTTAAGTGAAATAATTTATACAATGTAATTTTCATAGAAGTCATTATTGATCTTTTTATAAATGAACACATCTTAATAATCAGCTATGCTTATGCTTTAAAGGGTATCAATACATAAAATACCTTCTAATTAGTAATAAATTAACCAAATATGTGATCAACTAATATTGGCTGGGTAAAACTGTTCAATAAAATTTTAAAAATTAATATGCTATATTTTATAACTACTCTTAAACCTTAAAATCTACAGAGAAAATATGAACACATTACATAAATAATGAATTCCTATGCAACACTAGGATGAGAATAAACACGTCAATAAGAACTATTTAAAAATACTTGTACTTGAACTGACAAATACAAACCACCTCAGTTCAGTAAGATAATTATTTACATGGTTATTTTAATTATTTCTATATGAATTAAGCTAAAGTCTTTAAGATCAATAAGCAGAAGAAAATGCTCTAAAATGTATATTGCCATACATCTTTGAAATACTGTCCTTTCATAAATGAATCCTTTATCCAAGATTATCAGTGAGGAGTAACATAAATTACCATAAAAAAATTCTACATTATTAAACATATTTTTGCAAAAAAAAATGGATTACTTTTTATAAGTTACTTTTCACATTTTATTTTACTTGATATTCCCTCAGTTACTCATTACAGACATGTCTGAATCTCCCATTATCTACCAGGATTAAATAAATGGGGCTTCTCCTCAAGGAGCTCCTAATCAATGTTCTGCAGTGTGATAGGAACTCTAATAGTGGAAAATGCAAGGTAAATAAAGCAGGAACCAAGCATGATGAACATCACTATCCTTATCCTATAAAAATAAAAAATTCAGGTTAAAGAAATGAAGTGATGTACCTAATATTATATAGTTGTTTAATTCTCAAACCCAAGTCTTGAATCAAATCCAAGTCTTATAACTCCAATAAACCACACTATATTCTACCAAATATCAAGCTTCTGTTCAATAAGCACTTACTGACACTACCAATGTCTACTGCAAGTTTTTCAACTGCTGTTGTTGAAATGCTACTGTAGCTATATTCGGAATGATTAACGGAGAAATAATCATAGAAGCAATTACTTCCACCTTTACCTTCCTTGTACTTTGCTTTTAAAGATGTTTACAAATTAAACTTTTTCCACATACCTTTTGCCGTAAGCTTTTAACAGATTCCTTAATATATGGCAAATCTTTGGATGGGACATATTTTTCAAGCATTTTATCAAAGTTTGGATGACACATCATAAGAAAAAGCATTTTTCGACCATAGTACCTACGGACATTTGAGAAATATGCAAATAATTTTATATACCTTAACAAACTCAGTTTCTATCCTTAGATGCAATTTTTTTTAATAGAAAAAACCTGTCAATATCAAGATTGTCATCCCTATTTTATTTTATTTTATTTAAAGATTTTATTTATTTATTTGACAAAGAGAGAGAGTTAGTGAGAGCAGGAACACAAGCGGGGTTGTGGGAGAGGGAGAAGCAGGCTTCCCGCCGAGCAGGGAGCCCGATGCGGGGCTCGATCCCAGGACCCTGGTATCATGACCTGAGCCGAAGGGAGATGCTTAACGATTGAGCCACCCAGGCGCCCCTGTCATCCCTATTTTAAACAAGCCACTGCAACGTAGTTATACTAACTGAACTGGAGTATAACATTCTCCTGTCCCTCACCTTTATTTTTTTTTTTTTGGTTTATAAAAAACCCACTTTATTTTTTTTTTTCCGGATTATTCACCTGTTCTTTCTTGTTTTTTGTTTTTTATTATGTTATGTTAGTCACCATACAGTACCTCATTAGTTTTTGATGTAGTGATCCATGATTCATTGCTTGTGTAGAACACCCAGTGCTCCATCAATACGTTCCCTCCTTAATACCCATCACCGGGCTAACCCATCCCCCCACCCCCCTCCCCTCTAAAACCCTCCGTTTCTTTCTCAG